CTACTTTCTATCAGGAGAGTATGAGAACATAAAAGGAATGTCATGAGAGAAGTGCAAGAAAAATTCAACTAAACCTATGAGTTTTTGTTGGATTCCTAATGGACACAGTAAAGATTTATCTATAGGGCCAAGAAAATAAATGAATTACGAAAATTCTGGTATGATTTCTAAAAGATACTTGTCTTCTGTTAATTTGTTTTATTTACCAAGTAAGAATTTGTTCCTTTAAAATATTAAATATTCATTTAAAATGCTAAGAAAATAGTAATGTATTTGCTAAATATAAATGCAGTTTTAATTACTTCACAAATTTTAATTTTAAAAGTATATGCATTGTGTACATCAGTCTTGATGAAGTGATAATTAGCAAGTATTCAACTGAATTGATTTAAAGATTTGTTTCTTGTTTGGCAAATAAACACCATTATTTTAGCTTTGCTGACAAATTGAAGACCGAATTCATGAAGACTAAAATGATCTCCTGACACTCTGAATGTGTACACTGTGTGGCACAAGCTTCACAATGATGAAAGATGAATTTCTCAGTCTCAGGAAATTTTTTTTATGATTTCTCTCAGTATAATCTCTTCCAGTGTTCTTTATTTATGGTTTCTTTTTAAAGTAAGCAAAGCCAAACAAAAAACAAATTTAAGAAATATAACTCCATATTATATAATTTTTATCTCTAGCATAGTCAAATATTTTAACCACAAAACCCTACCAGAATTGCCTGAAGCAACAAACAATAATTTATATTTCTTAAACATACCATCAATATATTTTTAGTAATAGCCCAGAAATCTATACCAACATAATGTTAGTAAAGTACACTGAAAATTCATCATAGTTGATTCTAAAGTTCTATCTGAATGAATAAGATGTAACTTAACTTGAGATTTCCAGTGGAGATGTATGAATAGAGCCCAGGGTTTGTGCTAAATCAATACTCTATCTTTAAAGCATTTCCAGGTTATTCCTATAAAATCAATGCTCACAGTATCCACGTTTTACTCCATACCCACTAGCCAGAAATCAAACCCAAAATGCTTTCTGTATGTGTTTCCAGATAGTGGGTTTAAAATTCCACTAGTCCTATGAGCTTTCTTGTCAGTATCACTAATGATAGATATTAATCCTCTTTTCATAGACTAGAAAATTATGACACAGAGACAGTGATGGATTCTTCACAGGTCAAAATTAAAGTTGTTAAAATGAACTTGGGTCATAGTGACCTAGGTTTGACTAATTGATAGAGAACATCATATCAATTTTAAGTAATAAATATTTTAGACCACATTCTGCCTCTCTTGACATTTTTATAGCATGAAAAGATGTAAAGAAAATTATAACATAATTATTAGCAACATTGTTTTCTCTACACTAAGAGTTCTTAAGAATAAGAGGTGTGCCTCCCCTAGAGAAATTAGGAGGGAATTTCCCCATGAATGAATAAATACTAAAGGCAATTTCTTATAATAACTCATAGACTGGCACTTATGTTTCCAAAACACTGTCAAAAAAGTAGGTATCATTCATTCCTTTCATAAATATGTAAGTTCATCTGCATGTGAAGGTTTGCACCTTAGTAGGCTAGTAAAGTTTCCCTATTTCAAGTATATAAAGGGCTGGAGATGTTGCTCAATGGTTAAGTATCCCTGGGTCCAATTCCTGGTTCAAGAAATAAAGAAGAAAAGGAAGGAGAAGGAGAAGGAGATTAGGAATCTCTCTCTCTCTCTCTCTCTCTCTCTCTCTCTCTCTCTCTCTCTATATATATATATATATATATATATATATATATATATATATATTTCACTAATTTGAGTGGCTTGAGATTACCAATAGATTGAGATTCCTAATCTCCTTCATTTTCTTCTTTATTTCTTGTACCAGGAATTGGACACAGGGATGCTTAACCACTGAGCAACATCTCCAGCCCTTCTTATTTTTATTTTGAGATAGGGCTTGCTAAGTTGCTAAGGTTGGTTTTGAAACTGCAATCCTCCTGCTTCAGCTTGCAGAATTGCTAGTATTATAGGGGGTGCCACCACACAGGGACAGATTCCTGATCATTTGACTTTCAAGCAATACTTGTTTGGTACATCATGATTCATAACAGTTTTTTACTGCAGCAAGTTGTTTCTCTCATGTATAGCTCAATCTGTTAAGCTAAACAGTGAGAAAACAGCAAATAAGTGGTGTTTCTTCATTTGAGTCCTATCCTATGAATCATTGTAGATGTTTCTGAGTAGTGAGATCACTATAGAGGTCATTTCTTGTAAACAATATAATTTTCTTCAGTTGTGATTTTTGCTGTACTTGATAGGATGGAATAAATGAATAACTAGTTGCCTGGAATTTGCAGCTTTTAAACAATGGGAAAGGTGAATTACCAAAGGAATTTCTTCAGTCTATGTAATAATTTTGAACCTGGTTCAAACCCAAGTAAATAACTCTGAAGACAATCTATAGGCATTCAAATCTAAGATGATTAAGGGTTATTAATAATTACATTAGAATATTCAGCTAATATTTAGATGGTATACATAAAATGTTGATGGAGAAGTGTTTTATAATATTCTATAATTTAAAGATTCCAGCTAGGTTTCCCTTTCCCGTCTCCATATTCCATTTCTTGTTGAAGGAATAATGGTAAATCAACTGAGTCTTGAGCTCATTTTAATTATCCTCTGCTCCTGTAAATATTTCACATTTCCAATCACATAATTCTATTTCCTTTTACATTTTAGAGTTTCAAATAAAAGCAACACTCAACAACACTTAGCCTTACCCATCAAAACTTTTTTTGGGGGGTGGGGCAGAATGTGACTTTGAATTATTATTATTGTCTCTGGTCCTCCTAAAGACCTCATGCATCCTCTTTCAGTAATAAGACAAAATACCCATCCAGGAAAAGGAATTGATTTAATGAATTGGATGCACTTGTTCCCAAATAAAGTGCTGATTTCACTTTAGACACAAGAGAAATCAAAGTGAAGATTGGTTTCCATTTCCCCTCACTCCTTTATTTATTTATTTTTGCAATTAGAGATGAGCATTTAGATGTGCATTAAGTTATTTTACAAAATTCTATCTCGTAACAGCATTTTCCAAGAGATAAGGAGTCACAGGCTTCTATACACTTTCATGAGTTAGGAAGAGTGAATTATTTATTTATTTCAGTGAACAAATCTCCAAAGGGATTAGGAAAAGGTAACTTTTACTTTGCACAGTTTCAGCTACACATAGAGAAAGTCTGCCCCCTCAACAACTAAGAAGGGAACTGCGTCCATATACCCATAGGCATGTATTCTGGAACACATTCCCTGATTTCATTTTATGCTCCACTGACCAGGGGAGTCCAACTCTGATAATTAATTGACAACCAAAATAATAGTGTAACCACATGCTGTAACTCTTCTAAAAATGTGATTAAGTCTTCCATGTGGTAATTTCACTTCCATCCCACGGATTGAAAAAAAAAAATTGGATTGTGTTAGGAGCACATTGTAGAAATCTAAATCAATGATACATCTTTCTGCTCCTCAGATAATCATTTCTGACCTATCTAGGGCAAAAGAGCCCCCAAGGAACTCGGTGACATAAATGCCTCTGTTCCCTTTCTGCTAAGCAAGCAGGTTCATGGTAAGTGGTAAGTGACAGTCAAGAATGATTTTTCCTCAGAGTGTAATTGTTACTCTAAGCCAATGCAAAACAAGGGACCATCAGTCCACCCACAAATATCATCGTAACTGTCTTAGAGAATATTTATGTTAAAACTGAGAGAGTAAGTCTATGAATGCATTAGAGAAGTAGTTTATTATCCGTCTTATAAGGCCTATAAAATTAAGAGAAGAACCTTGAGAACTCCTGTAGTTTTTTCAAAGAGGCAAACTCTTTCTAAACACTTGGTTATGCATATACTGTTACATGTATTTACATGATTGTGAAAGTCCATTCTTGTAAGTCAGCTCTGGGCACTGAGCTGAACATGCTCATTGGAATTAATCGAGTTCTTTCTGAAATGTCAGGCATGGGCTATAAATTTGTATAACTGCTTTTACCCAGTGAGCCCTTTTTATTAAAGCAGAATGCTTATCAAGGTCACTGTGAAAGATTGTCACTTTAAAGCACCAAAGGAAGATTCTAGAAATAAGAATCAAGAGAAAAAAAAGGATGTAATTAGCACTCTAAAGTTTATGGTTTGTTAAGAACCTATTGACCTCTCTCACTTTCTGGATTTCAGTAACCAATGTATTTTATAGAGCTAAGAATTCAGAATTCTGTCAAAACCCAGCTCTTCTAAAGAGACACAATAAAGCTTCTCATTTTCTGCTTTCTATTGGGTCTGGTTTTAAGATCTAAAAGACTGGAGAGGATGCTGAGCAAATACATGCATGTTTCCTTAGGTAAAATTCTACAGGTGTAGGTGTGCTTGTGGGTTTGGATACATAGAGGAATGAGATGCCTCTGTATACATATTTTTCTGCTTGTAAATGGCTTGGCAAATTGTTACCATAAAAAAATATATTAGAAAGGGTATTTAAACCATCTCTACTTCAACTTTTTTTTGAGTCTTGCACACTATGTGACACAGGCAGAATCACTTTTAAGGCCATGCATAGGACCAGAAACATTCTCTTGCAAGATAGCAGTTTACATTACTATTGAAGAAAAAAAAATGAGCAAGATATACATAAATCCAAGCAGATATTAGATAAGCAATAAGAAAAGTGTCCAACTAAAAGCTTACTTTAAAAATGTTAGCCAACTACATAATATTTTTACTATTGTCACAGGAGATACTTCAAAAACATCTGACAGTTTTATTAAGCAAGAGATTTTCTAACATCATGAACTAGAAATAACAACTTTCTATGGAACAGAATTATTTATCTTTACCTTAATTCACAAGAAAAAATACTGTTCATGTTCTTTCTGTAAAACCTTGGGGAAAGTCATTATAGTAATAAAAAGCCATAAATAATAGTATTACCACTTACCTGCTAAGTAGCGGAAATAGATGTGTCTTCAGTTTCTCTAACGTGAGGTTTTGAGTAGATCTCCAGCCTCCTCTCACAAAGCTATTTCCAAAAGAGTTACGATCCGCTCAGGAACATCCTGCTTATTTCATGAACTGTGGGCCTTTGAGTATTTCAGCCCCTACTGCAGTGCCCATGATTTCTCAGTGCTTCTAAGAACTTGAACTTCACTCTTCAGCCTGCATTCCTTCTACCTCCCCTACAGAAAAATTATTCCTGAAGTTGTGGCTGAGAGTTTAACTGTGGAGCCTGAGTACTCCTCAGAGCCCTCTCCCTAGGTGTAGCAGTAGAGTAGGGAGGGTTATTTTTCGTCCATCAAGGAAAGGGACAGGGAGGCAGGGGGGTATTAGGAGGCACCGCCTTTTAGCTGCGAGGAGCAGGGTGCTCAGCTGCCCGTGGCGACGACAGTGGCGGCAAGGACAGCGGAGGCGGCTGCAGCAGCAGCGCAGTTTGGTCCCTGTAGCTGCAGCCCAGTCCGGAGACGCTGTCCATCCCCTCCGGTGCTGAAGTAAGGGACTGGAACCCCCAGCCTGACCCCAGATCGCACTTTCCTCCACCAGCGAACCCAAGCTGCTTCCTTGTCTTCCAGCCTCGCCTTTTTTTCCCCCTCTCGCGCTTTATTTTTTGGTAGGGGAGTGATTGTTTCTCCAAAATAATATCTTCATACTTATTTGATGGCAGCGTTTCTGGAAAGGCAGGAATCCATGAGGAATAAGATCTGAGCCTCTCCTGACTTTTCAGTGGCCCTGAACGAGTTTCCTAATGGTAGAAATGAAAGAGAACGCACGAACACGCGCGCGCACATACACGCGCGCACGAGAGAGAGAGAGAGAGAGAGAGAGAGAGAGAGAGAGAGAGAGAGAGAGAAATGGGGGGGGGGGATTGTGGTGCACTGTGGAAAATCCAGAGCTTCTTTGAAAGCTCGTGGGTCTTTAATTACATAAGATGAAAAGGGCTATTTTGGAAGACTCTGAAATCTTGCTTACCAATTGTTGAGGTGGGGGGGCATTTAAATTTTGGGAAGCCTATTTGAAATTCCTAGGTTATGCACAGTAAAGATTCTTAGATCCTACACAGACAAACGAACGACAGGTTATTGTTGGAAAATAAAAAGACACAGGACGAAAGAATGAAAAAGAAACGCTTCTCGGCTTTGCTACCTTTTTTAAAACGCTGCCAAATTGGTTCAGAATCGCGGTAGAGCAGCTAAGAAGATCCTGTGGACGAAGGTCCCTGTGAGTGTCAGCGCTGGGCTCGGTGAGCGAGCGGGAGTCTCCGGGGGCTGCATTCCCAGGGCAGTGCTAGCAGCCGCCCACAGCCCAAGCTCGTGCAGGGGGGCGGAAGCGGCTTATTGCACAAAGGATGGGATTAGAGGAATGCATAAAGTCAGCGGGAGCACTAGAGCATCCCTGTCTTTTTAAAACCAGGAAAAAAAAGCCCAACACACCGGGCCCTTTTTGCCTAGGTTTTCAGCTCCTTCCCTTTCTTTTCCTCGCGCGCGGCGGCCTTTTTGCCTCTCCACTCCGGAGTCTGAGCCCTGCTCAGTCCCCACAGGCTCTTCTCTCCTGCTCGGCACAGACCCCCACTTCTGCCCGTTCCCCTCGTTCTTGGCAACCAGTTGACACTGAGCCAGGTTTGAGTGGGTTGTCCTGAAGGCGAAGGCGATCTCTAAGGGTTCTGCCATCCGCACTTGGCAAAGGGTGCCTACAGGAGTGGAGTGAGATGGGAGATTGAAATACACAACGTGGAAACTGTCGGAAAATTGTTCAAAAATCACGTCCACGCGGACCCTCAAAACTATGTACTGCTCAAGAGGGAAGACTAGCCAGGAAGGGAAGTCCAGCCCACTTCTTCAGACACAGAACTTGTGCAGTGCAGTTTTCTGCACCAGGAGGTTGTTAATAGACTTAAGGGGAAATTGGTAGAGACTGGCTAGGGGCAAGAAAGTGGGTGGAGAGGGGAGGCGTCACTGATCTTTCTTGGGCAGTAGGATGAGGCTAATGTCTGCTTGTGGCCTCCTTTCCCAAGCACTTTCTGAGGTTCTTCTTCCTCGGATCGTGACAGTGGAGGGGAGTCGTAGACTAGATGAGGTGCTCTCTTCCCGTGTTTCCATCAAGGATTAGAGCGTGCAGGGGCCGATCTGGAACTGTCCGTTCTGGGTGGGATGATCTCCGCCTCCTGGAGGCAGTGCCCTCTCCAAGGTGCCTGCGGAGCAAGAGAAAGCTGAGGGAAACCGCGCAAGTCCGCAGCAGTCAGGGGAGTTCAAGGTGGTTCTTTTGGGGAGAAACTTAAGTTGGAATTCATTCAAGAAGGTAAACCAAACGCGCAGCTAATGTACTCCCAGGAAGAATCCACGTTTCCGGCGGACTTTGATCTAGTTCCTGCAGCAGCGATGTCTTTATTTCCCTGGGGTCATCGCTGCTCACTCCCAGGCTCTGGCTGGAAGAGGCCATAGTCAGTGTTGGACTCATTTCAGGCAGCAGACGCTGTGTGGAGCTGCAGACGCAGGAAATACTCACAGGGAAAGGAAGCCCCTGATTAACTTTCTCCAACAGTCCTTTTGAACAGGGGCACTGTTAAAAGATGTGAGTGAGTCTCTAAAATCACATCTAGGGAAGACTTATAACCTCACTGAGATACACAGGCCAAAAATAGGCTATTTGCTACTGGAGGCTGATGTTTGAAGGGAATGTGTTGTTTTCCACTTCTGCGAAAAGAAATTGCCCAAGATCATAGTAAATAAAGTTTCCCTTTTCCTTCCACAAAATTCAGACAAACATGTTTCTTGCATCTGCATGAACAAGTATGTGTCATCCGTACAAATAAGTTTCAAAAAGTACCCAGATTTTGTTGGAGAAGGAAAACAAGCCTGCTTGCGAGTTAAACTCCTTCTGGTGCCATTATTCCCTGTCAGCAAAGAGTTTTTGCTCTAATGTATTGAATTCGATGGTTATTTCAGTTTGATTTAATTGACTTTACATTATTTTCTCTGGACATGTAGGGACAGGAATAATCACAGAAAATAACACACCAAATAAAAGGGATTCATTTAAATGTGGCACAGAGTACAAAGATGTTGCTAATTAAAAACATATGCACTTGATTATTCAGACCTAGAGGAACAGATTTTTCCATCTTTCTGAGCACTGATTGACACTAATGTATCTCCCCTCTCCCTCCCTCCTCCTCCCCCTCCCCTCCCCCCTTCCTTCTCTCCTGCCAGGAAAAGAAAGAAAAAAAAAAAAGAGAAAGGGTTGATTAATTTGAGCTGTCAGAACTAACAGATTATGTTAGTTTGATGTCTTTTCTTGAAGAAGCAAATCCACTCCATATTTTTCCTCATCAAGTTGTGTAACCAGTTATGGAAATTAAGGTGATGAACATCAAATGCAGTCTAACATCTGATGCTACAAATGCATATAAATGAAGTATAACAAAACAAAAGGGGACAGAAAAACTGAGGTGAATTGAAGAAATATTTTAAGAATTTTTACCTTTGGATCAGATTTGTAAAAATTTATTTAAAATGTGATTTTATTCTTAAGTTACTACGATTTAAAGATGTAAGCATAGTAAAAGATGAATGAGAATCATCAAAGCAATGTATGAATTATATTCACAAGAAACTGTAATAACCTGTGAGTCCAAACCAGGTCTTTCAGTCCCTCTAGGTTTATAAAACTATAATAGAATCATCACTCAGCCCACCCTCCACAGTGTAGAAATCTTAGAAAACATTAGATTTGGGCACATTTTGAAACAATTTGAAGTACTTTGAGGGAGGGAGTTCTCAGTGCAAAGCAAAACCCCAATATTGACTGAAACTTCCATAAGCCTCCAAACCAGTTGAAGTCATCTTTTTACTGTATATAAAATAGTGCTAATATAATTTCTAACCTCACTGAATTGTCATATGTGAGAAAAAAATATATGAAAAACTTAATATATCTTGTATGTTTCTATAAAAATTGATATCATCATCTATAAAATAGTAGCCTCCGTGCTTATTACTACACCATAGTTATAAAACTGGATATGTAATTTAGGGGTTTCTTTTTTGATTAGCATATTCCTAATTATTTCTGTGCTTCATTTCATGTTTCATATTTTAAAATGGGGTCATATGATTCTATAATCCATATCTGAGTCATTTTTAATTCATGGTCTCAATGGAGTCGTTTTAAGCTGAAGTTTCCCCTTGTGATCAAGTACAACCAAATATTGCTTGTCTATTACTACTGATTTATGAATTGGAATATTGGGAAATATTGGGAAAATATCCTTATGTGGTTTTCTAAGAAGTTATTGAGTTTATATGTTCTTTTGTCCTTTTCGTAAATAAAAAGACTTAATCCCATACCTTTGTTCAGTTAAGGTGTTCAAACTTGCTAAATCATCACCAGGTAATTCTGGAAGACTTCATGTGTGTTTGTGTTTGTGTTAACTGAGCTCAGTTGACTAGTTATAGGGAAAGGTGGATGGAAACTGATAACTCCATTGTCCTAACTGAAGTACAAAAATCCATCAATTAGATTTGTTTTTCTTTTAGGGTGGAGGGTGAACAATGGCAGTCAGAAAAATTTAGGAAATTGTTTATGTTTAACTACAAATGCCTATTAGGAATATTTCATTTTAGAGAAAGATTCCCTGAATACTTTCATTTTAAATGATTTTCTCTATTGAGAAAAACTCTAAAGTTTAGGAATGACATATTTTAATAAAAGTGTTTTTTTATGTTTAAGAAAAGTGTTTTTTAAACATTTAAGTGTTAAATATGTTTAAGAAAAACATATTTTCTGCTACTTGGATAAATTTCTTAAACTTTTAGTCTTTTTCTTCATTAAAAAAAAAGGCAACCTACAACTTCCAGTTAATTACATCACCTGGATCCAGACCTCACACATAGAATGTTCCACATAGGATAAGAGAATCCTATGGCATCCCTCCAATCCTCTCTAATAGAAGCAGTGTCTCAGAGATTGTCTGTGTTTACTAACACTGTGCAGGAAATACTAGCTTACTCAAAAAAAAAAAAAAAAAAAACAATGTGAAAAGATGAGTTTATATATAAAATGTGTAGAAATTCCACATACAAACAAACATTATTGATTTGTGATTTTTTTCATTATTTCTCCTCTCCTTCTATAATATGGACTGCACAAAAGCAATTACCTCGTGTAACTTGTGTGTCTCCTGCACTGAAACAATGCCCCAGAATATAGTAGATACTTAGAAAGTTGTTGGTAATCGAACAATTACATGTGAACTTCTGTGATACTGGCTGAGAGTAATAGACTGAACAAAATATTGTCTTTGTGCTTCAAAACCAGGAAATATTTGTTATTTATAGGCATAAGAGCCTTCATAGCATGGTTTCTTCCTGTAATAATGGCTTTTTAAAAATATACTCATCCATTTTGGAACAATCAAAGATGTATTTTCAATGTGGCAATAAAAGATTTATTTTTAGAGAGATTCACCTGATACGCCTTCATAATTATAATCCTTTTGTATAATTAACTAGATGGATATTCATGTGCAAAATTGTTAAAATTATTCAGTCTGGCAAAAAAAAAAGGAGGGGCATAGACAGATTTTTTACTATAAATACCTTCATAAAAACTGGTCTCTATTTCTTGCACTTTTTTCCCCATTCTGGAGAAAGGATAATATATTTTGGTCTATTACCCATGAATTTTCTTCATAAAATAAATGTGATGGTTATAGAAAATGTAAAGAAGGGAAGAAAAGAATCTGTACCGGTAACATCACAATTTTATTATACTTTCTTCTGAATCTTCCAAGGTACCACATGTACCCATTTGTTATCACAGTACATTTATTTTTTATTGGTTCTTTTTAGTTACACATAACAGTAGAATCCATTTTGATATAATTATACAAGCATGGAATATGTTTTACTAAATCTTCTAAAGTTAATTCTATATGTAAGATTTTTCTGTTTTTTAAAATTTCTTTTAAACTGAAAATATAATGGTGGAGTGTAATTCAGAATTAGAGTGTTTTCCTAGAATGCACAAAATCCTGGGCACAATCTCCAGTACTGGAAAAAAGAAAAAAAATATGTAAAGGTGACAGAGGTAACATACTTTGTTCTATACTTACTTTATGATGTTTATTGTATTTTCAATTTCTGCTATTATGTGAATAGCTTCATGGATAAACCTTTCTGTCATTTCCATTATTTTGGAAAGTTGTGTGGGGGAGAAAGAGTCAATGAAATGTAAATATCAATTTAAAGTATCTGCTTATTTTACCGCATGTAATATGTAAATGTGAGTGTAACAGTTGTGGGAGGCAGGGAAGGATAATGGAAGGAAAGGGGGAAGGGAGATGGCCTAGATAAAGAGGAATTTC